GAAAATGATGACGCTGAGGAGTCAACAGCCGATATTATCATTGCTTGTAACCCGGTAAATAATTTCGTACATCTCCCCATAAAATAAGCCTTAGTGGAAAAAAAAGCTCATATTCGAATAAGTTTATTAAAGCACCCCCCTCTGTGGGAAAGAGTTTTTTTTTCTCAGAGTCGAGTTTAAACCATGAGGTCAGTTTTGTCAACAGGAGGCGAGCAACTGTTGCCCATAAAGTAAAACAAATATCCGCCTCTAAGTCGTATTTTACCGTTGCAGAATGTGGAAAACAGACAGCCCTCCCAAAAAAGGAAATTGGACACCCCAACTCTCCCGACTGCGCGCGCACGCACACACACACACACACACACACACACAACAGAGACCCGAAGGATGAGAAGAAAAAAACCCCTCTCTAACGAAAAAACAGATGCCTCGCTAGACGAGGATAAAATGAGAGAGGGGAGTTAAAAGAGCCGTTATCTGCTCAAACCCTACTGTGACAGTTCTACCAATCGCGAGGAAGAATCCGAGAATATTATGTCAGCATTCCGTTCAAACAACACCGCCGATCAGAGCGCCAGGGCCATCTCGCCAGAAGTATTCGTACCTCACCCCGGTAAGTCTTTTTTTCTTTACGACTTTAAATTATATATCAATAATTTGATTACTTTCTTTTTGATTTCTACATCAATGATTTCACGCAAGTGGACTACGGTGCGATTAAATAAGTATATATCATTTTTTAAATAAGTTTAGATAGACTTTTTTTAACGAAACTCTGTTACTTACAGAAGCTATCGATAGCGCGGTGAGTAGCAGCATAAATCCGGCCGTTTTCCGAGGCGATTTAGACGCCATCCTCCCCGCAGAACCTCCGCCGCCGCCGCAGCGAAAAGAAGAACAAGAAGACGACGTTATTTACGTCTCCGGATACCAGGAGAACTGCGGAGAAATAAGTTTTAAAACCGAAGGTAAACAATATGTTGCATTATCCGCCATTTTGTTGAATAACAGGATGTGACGGAGTAATCCGAGTGTGCTATACCGCCCCTCCCGACCCGGAGCGGATTTTTAAAAGTTTGTTTTATTTCTCGACAGCGGTCATCGAGAATATACAGACCCCGCCGCCGCAGCGAAAAGAAGAAGACGACGACGTTATTTTCGTCTCCGCATACCAGGAGAACTACAGGAAAATAGCTTTTAAATCCGAAGGTAATCAATTTTTCTACAAAATAACGTATTCGAAAAGCCGAGTATGCTATACCGCCCCTCCCGACTTGGAGTGGTATAAAGTGTGCTAGAAAGTTTGTTTTTAAAAAAAATCTTTTTCTTTTTGTTTTATTTCTCGACAGCCGAGATTGAGAATATACCTATTCAAACCCCCGCTACAGACAATCGGACGGAGGAGCGAGGTAAATAAAAGTTTTTCATTCTCAAAAATTGGAAGGAGGAGAGACACAATTTGTTTTCTTAAAACTTTTCTCTCTTCTGTTTTATTTCTCGACAGAGACCGATACAGAAAATCAGGCGGAGGAGGAACCGTCCAGAGCTCCTCCTCCTCTCAGGAGACTGAGAGGTAATTGACGGGGGATGAATCGACCCTAATACATAATTATGTTGTATTAATAAACTTCTCCGCTCTATAAAAAATGTATGTTTTAAAAATACATTCTGTCTGTCTTTTCTTACAGGTCGACGGCTACTTCATAAGAAGAGAATCCTTGGAGACTTCGCTTTCATGTACGCCATAACAGTCTGTGCATATGCATCAATATATCGACACGAGGATCTGTAAAGGGATGCAAAGTAAAAGCATACACATGTAAAAGTCTGTGAATTAAGAAATAAAGAAAATCATGTCGGAAGAACGCAGCATTCCTGACGCTTTGTTGGAAGCCGTGGCAGAATTGAACAGAGACGTTGATCATATAGCCCCACCGATCGACCCCCTACAGCCTTTAGAAAACGCTTTGCAAG